TTCACCAGGGGCCCCGGCGCGTTATATTACGGAAAACATGCGCGATACGCAAATATTTTTTGTCCTGGAAATAATGTTAAATTAAGTAGTCTTACTTGTGTAACAAAATGTACATTTCAAAACATTTTTAAAAAATATTATTACATGTTAAATATCTAATATTAACTATAACTTTATTTCCTTTCTGTAATAACACTGAATTGTTACATTCTTTTATGCAAACCTCAAAAATTGTTCATTGCTCAATTAACAGTATGCGGGGCCCTCAGGGACAAAAGAGGAGGCCTATAGTAGACCAAATAGAAATTTATGTCTCAAATGAAGATGAATGCCAAAGACGGAAGATGCTAGAAATCGTGTTATATACTTCAGCAGTGCAGCATTTCTGCAGTTGAAGAGGCAGAAAAAAATATGTATTTAATGGTATTTAATGTAAAAAAATGCTAACCACAAGTAAAACTTTCTATACAAAATATCTTTCATTGGGTATCTGTACAGAAAGTACTTGTACTATAATACATTTTTTTTATTTAATAAAAGATGGAGCTATTTTTCGGGGCGGGGCGCAACAAATTAATTGTGCTTGGGCCCGCACTATCTAAATCCGGCCCTCTAGTGACTGAGATATGTCCTTCCTTATGTGTTTCAGAAGTGCTCAGTGTGTTTTAGTGTTTTGATGGATTTTCACCAACCAAAAAGAAACGTGTTGTAAAAAATTATTGGCAGTGTACAATTTTTGCTGTTATTTGTGGTGAACTTTTATATGGATGGATTCTTTGGTTATTAAAATCCGAAAATTTCCTTAAGGAGAGAAACAACATCTGTCTTTCTTTGTTGGTGGTGCTAGTGATATATGTCCTTCCTTTGTGTTTAGAAGTGTTCAGTGTGTTTTAGTGTTTTGTATTTTCATCAACCCAAGAACGTGTGTAAATTATGCAGAATTTCTGCTGTATTTGTGGTGAGCTGACTTGAAAGACTCAGAAGCGACATTTAACGCCACTTGCGAAAATGTGTTATCAACATTACTTTGACTGTCAAGTTGGTGATTTTGAAAAGACCTGGGCCCTAAATGTATGTTTTGTGTATTAAGACTGTTGTCTTGATATAAAAATGGTACACATCACATGCCATTTGCAATTCCTATTATTTGGAGCGAACCGATAATCGAAGTGATTTTTATTTCTGTTAGACAAATATTAAAGGAATCTCGTATCCCTGACCAGAAAAGTGTGTCGCATGTCCATTTACTGAATTCTGATAAATATATTTACCCCCATTGCTTATTAAATTATGGGGAACGTGAAATTTCGTAAAGCTATGGATGGAACTTTGTGATGGATTCTTGTAATTGAAATCGAAATTTCCTTAGGTAAGTGATGCTAGAAAGAAGATATTTCTTAGGACTACAAATGCGGTCACTAATGGTTGATGAACGTTCTGAGGAACTGTTAAAGCCACTGCAGTTTTTGCAAAAAGCCTGGCAGTTTAAAAAAAATTGCAATTTCCTTGGAAACCATAAAGCAGAAAACTATCTGACATTGTGACTGATCTTCCGCATTCTTATAAAGCTATGGGATGTAACATGTTTTTGAAAATTCACTTCTTAGGCCTTGACTCAGACTTTCTTCTGGAAAACCTTGGGGCTGTGAATGAGCACGGTGAGCGTTTACAGCAGTACATTTCTACCACCAAGGCATGGCATTTGTAGTTCTAATATGCTGGCAGACCACGTTGGATCAAGAAAAGACATGTTATAGAATATGCCCGAAAATCATTAATACCAATTTCAAGGTAGATAATGAGTAGTCAGAATGTAAGACAGGTCCAGTAGTATACCATTTAGAGTTGGACAACAAGTAACTTATTTTATTAAAAATTATAAAACGTTTAATTGAATATCATAAAAATGATGGGGGGAAACTGAAACGATACTTAATTCAATATAAAAATACTTATAGAATCTATTATTTTCATTCTTGTGAAAGAAAAAAGTTTAGTTTTGTGGACCAGTGTTTTTGGTTCTTTCATTTACGTCAAGTACTTTTTTGGAAATTTTAATAGTTTTCGAGCAATTTCAATTGCAGTATATGCAATATTAAAAACGAAATACAAGATTTTTTCAAAAACGGTTCCAAATGTTTTCTTCAGACTTTTTGTACGAATAGTACAAAATGTTTGTGTGAGAAATCACCAACGCCATTTTGCTGAATTCTTTTGATTTTCAAAAATAACAAAAATTTACTTTTTTATCTCTCATGGTCCTAAAATTGGCATGATAGATGTATTTCATTGTTTAATAAGTTTGTTAACACATAAGGTTTAAAGAATCTCTAATGTTATGCTTTGAAAAATCCATAAGTTTTTGAGTATATAAGAACTACAAGTGACGAATTTTCGGAAACGAATGTTCATGTGAACATATCTAATTGGTCAAGTGTGGCTTATTTCATAATGTCCTCCATCCATCAATCTAGCGTAGTAATATCGCCACCCGTTTGAGCGCAGCACTGAGGCATAGCTAACGCGGGACGTGAGATTTAGCGTGTGATTTGCTAGACCTGAGCAATAGGGAAACATCAGGAAACATGTTGAATGCTGACAGCAGTGAAAACAAAATTCAGGTTCATGTGACAACAAGAAGAGATTGTGATGTGAAGCGATGACGCTCGCACGTATTAATTTAACAGTGTAAATTTAGTGAAGGTGTAGCAGACCATGTCTGTTGCCCAAAATATCTTGCGATTACAAAATTTTGAATAAGTATGATGTAATTATTCAACAAATGTGAATTTTTTTTCATATAATGTTGTTCACACACACGGTTTCACTGATCTATTGCTGATGTGAAACATCATGCTCTTATCACTTGTGCCTTCAAAACATTTCCTTCATAATTTATGATATTTGGCTAATTATTCTCCAAATATAAACTTCATGGGAAGTTCTTTGTAAATTTATTTATATTTTACTTAAATATTATATTTTGCTTAATGCATTTAGTAGGAATGATTGTTAACATATTATAATTGAATTAAACCATTCATTATTAAACTGTCAAAGTTTATACATGAACTTTTTCTTTGTGCTAATGTTAAATAACTCTTAAGTAATTAAGTGAATTATTTCATATTACATTCATCTTCTGAGTATAGATTGTGAATACGATTTAAATCTTGTAACAGATAACCAATGTTTTAGATGTGTGAAAAATGTTTATACAATGGAAATAAAGAAAAGTTTTTAATCATATTATTTACATCATGCGGCATAGTTTACTGATATTCACTCTAATATTTACAATACTTTCTTTTAACTTTATATTTTTTTATAAAAGCCTAGATGCCCAGTGTCCTATTGCTGTAAATCCTCATCAGCATCTCAAAGTTAAAGAGGAGCATTTCCTAGTTATATTAATATTATCTTCTTTTGATAATATTCAACGTAGAAATGTTTTAAGAAATGCATGGCTTCAGTGGTGTAAAGATATGGAAGTGAAGTATTTCTTTGTTATTGCCACAAAATCCATTTCTCAATCTAATAAGAAGGAAATTAATAATGAACAAGATCATTTCAAAGATCTCATGTTACTTGAAAGTGTTGAAGATTCATATGGTCGTTTAACTTTAAAAGTCCTTCAAGCATTTGTATGGCTTGAAGAAAACGTGAAGTATAAGTTTACTTTGAAGTGTGATGATGATTCTTTTGTGAACGTACAAGAACTGATAAAGTTATTGAAGAATTATGAAGAAGATCCTGATCACCTTTACCTAGGATTTTTCAGTGGTCATGCTACTGTTCAAAAAGAAGGAAAGTGGAAAGAAAGTAACTGGATATTGTGTGATTACTACTTACCGTATGCCTTGGGTGGAGGTTACATTTTATCTCAAGAGCTCACAAATTTCATTGCCCGAAATGCAAAGGATTTACAGTAAGTAACCAATAAATTTGGTTCAAAGCTGTCAGGTGTCTTGAAGACCCATAGACCTTGTATTAACACAGTCCTAGGCATGGACATGGATGTAGTGTTAATATAGTCTCCTTGATTATCTTTGGAAATTTTTTATATTTTTTAATTTTTAATCTGGTCTTCACATCAGATAAATTAATTCTGAAATAATAATTATTTGAAGTTTGAGAGTGAGAAATTTGAGGAAATGGTCAAAAAGTAATTATTATGTAATTATTATAACCAAGGATTTTTCATTTAAACACTTCTACAAATTTTAATTTAACAATGTTAAAATTGAATTTGTGTGTGTGTATTCTTAAAATTGCTTGTTCTCTGCTGTTTCAGATTGTTTCTGAGTGAAGATGTATCTGTGGGAGTGTGGCTGGCTAGCAAGGCACGAGTCAACAGAGTTCACAGTCCTCAATTCAACACAGAGTTTAAGTCGCGAGGCTGCTCCAACTCGTACATTGTCTCACATAAGCATTCAGAAGTAGAACAAAAGGAAATGTTCAATAATTTAAAGTTGACTGGAAAAATGTGTAAAAAAGAATTCCAAATACGACGATCATATAATTATAATTGGAATGTACCTCCGACCAAATGCTGTCAAAGAACTAATGAAATTCCTTAGTATGTGTTGTATTTATTATTCTGTAATTTTTTAATTTAATTTTCTCTTTTATATGATAAGACGCAGAAGGTAACAATAAAAATAATGTGCAAGAACAATTTACAAGTCCTTTAAAGTGCCAATTTAACTGAAATGACATGTATTATTTTGTAAATGGAATATAATATATACAGAGAATATGAATAAGATATCTCTTTAATTGATTCAATGTTGGTAGATCCAAATTTGATCTGGAGAGGTCGTAAATTTTATAATGCAGATCATGTTGAATTTGTTTTTATTTATATTTTCTGCCAAGTTTGAGAATGTTGAGAACTAACCTACAGAGAACAAGAATAGAAATATCAATTGACCCAAAGCCATATAGAAGCTAAAAACATGAGATATAGGTTTCTATTATACTGAATAGAACTAAGAAAAGATTTTTCAAAATTCATCACCTGATTGGGTGAAAAGGAAGATGAAGTGGCAAATTATATTGGTGACGTTTATAAGCCCTCGACCACATCTGTAGTTGGTCTGAGGTCTTCACAATTGGTACCTGGTTTCGGCTTAGCGCTTTATAGACTAGGTTAATAAGCCTACCAGTTCAGTTTGTAAAAATAAAAAGAATTCAGATAAATTGGAGAAATAGTGCAATTCATGAAAGGGCTGAAGACCTGAAACCCAGGTGACTTACAGCCGAAGCTTCCAAATGAAACTTCAACCAGCTGTGTAGGTGTTTTGGGGCTTCAGTATTGGAACCAAACATTAGGAAATCGGGGAACTACCACCTATGATCTTCCATGCATCTCAAACTGAACTTTCTTTCTTTATCAACCATTCAAGAAGTCTTAGATGTGATATGCAGACTACACTATTAACTCTTAGTGGATTTTAATCTCACTGGCAGGCAATACTCAATAATTCTAAATTTTGAGGCATTACCTTTTCAAACTTTAATTAGCGGCCAGCATCAGTACAAATGCTGATGAACAAAACTACGTAAAATGTTAAGGTGGCTCCACACATTTGACATTCACCGATCAGCGAGCTACTGCTCACCCAATCCCGAACAGCTGATGTGTTCGGCAAATGTTCACTCCCTGTGATGTGTCCTAAAGACCAACACGCGGTGGGTAGGGTGAATACTGAATGTTTGGCAAATCGCAAACAACCAGTCCACACTACTCGGGATTTACTGAATGACACATGTATGGAGCAACCTTTACTCTCAAATATTTGCATTTTTCAGTCAAAGTACATTGTTTCACGTTTTTGTAATTTTTCCAGAGTTCCTGGGTATCTAACAAAACCACAGACATCTTGACATGGCCACAGCTGAGACTGCTTATTTTTTCGTCAATTTATGTATATTTGAAGTAAGTAACACACATACACAGAATACAGATTGCACCCCTGTCGAATACAAGTCGTAATTTGCACCAGGTAAAATATAGAGCCACCGGAAATATGTGGGCATTTTATTGGCCACCAAAGATGATTAGGAATAAAGTACCAATAAACAATATTAACTACATATTACAATCATTCCTTTTATTTTCAACTCTTATTGCAGCACACATGTGATAATGAATACAGAAGAGTTATGAAGGGCTTTTGGGAACTCCCATCATATCCACAAACATTTGAAAAAACATTGAAAACTTGCTTACACCAAGTTCATCAGAAATAAAATTTTCCAACAAAGTATTTTGAAAGGCAGGTATTAAAATAAGGTTGCAGAAAAATACCTAAAAAGTTGATTTATGGTAGAATCTGTGCTAAGTTTTTTCTACTGTGTTATTGAAAATGTTCAAATTGTTCTCATCTCTCATTAAGAAACAGTCTTCACTATATTTCCATAAAATTACCTCTAATTTTCGAATAACAAAACCATGCAAAAACCTTTAATAATCTCAAATTTGCAATATGCAACACACACTTCTAGACATTTTTTAAATAAGACCTGTACAATTGAAATGGAATGTTTACAATAATGTACATTTAAATTAATATGATTAATTTTTTATACAGAACAACGATATAAAAAAATATAAAAATTACAATACTATGTACATTCCATAACAAATGGAAAAATATAACCTACAAAGACAACTTTCATTTCTTCTTTCGGTCCGCTGTACATTTAGGACAAAACCATTTCCCTTTTGGTTTTGTTGTGAGTCCAACACAGGCAAAATGGAACCATTCAATTGGACACTGCAAACAAATGGAAAATGGATTACTTGACAGTCATCCAAGACACTTTCCTTGAAGCGAATGTCTTTTCGGCATAGATTGGGCTGTAAGCATATTTCCTAAGAAAGCTAATGATTCATACATTGGCCATTAATAAAATTTCATTACACATTTTCTAGTCATAGTTTCAGATTCTGTGCTTGACGGGCAGGACAGTCGCCAACTTTTACTATTTGTCCCTTTACTAAATTATTAGTGCTTTGGCAGTTGGCTGCGGTGTCCTCTACACTTCAAATAGTTGTGAAGCATTTCCGTATTTATTAATTAGCTTTTTAAATTAGATTAGAATATAAAAAAATTACCGCGTCCTCACATCAGACAAGCGACATTAAAAGCATGGCTTCAAAGGATCCTTTCTAAAGAGGCATGTCTGAATTAAGAATTTTGTACAAAGAGATATACAATATTAAGATATAAATTTATAAAAATTAAATTAAGAGTTAATAACTGTTTACACACACTATATCATTACCCTATGTATCAATACTTCTCATATGTTAAGTCAGAAAATTTGCACAGCTAGTAATACAAGTCCTTAGCTCATGCTCTTATAAAACCTATTTTTCATATTGCATACACTGGTCTTGATTAATTAATCTTCCACATACCAAAAGAATTTGGAATACATTTCTAATGAAATCTTGTAAAAAGTTCATGAATAAAAAAATAAAAAAAAAAAAAAATTATGTTTAAGACAATGTTGAATCAGGGAAATTTATATTAATGAAATTTATCTGTATGTGTGTATCTGTTTTCAAAACTTTTTTATAAGCTCAAATAATTATTTACGTTATATAAAAATATATTCACTTGCTTTCACAATTTTTGTTTGTTAATCTGGGCTAATTTTGGAAACAGATAAACCAATTCTGATGAGGTTTTCACTGCAAGGTAGAAGGCACTAACTAGATTCAATTTTAGCAACTTGTTTTCATATCAATATTTTCTAATACATAAAGAAGAATGTTTCTTTAAATCTACCATTTTATTCCAATTTTAAAGAAATTTGGCATAACTTCAACACAAGAGAAAAGTTACTGCCCGCATGAGATTTCACAAAAACTAAAGACTTAAGAAACTTGAATTTGAGCTTTTTCAAAAATGTTCAATTTTACATTTTGGCATTTTTCCCACCTCCCTTTTCACAGAAATCTTTTGAGTTTTTGAGAAACTTCATAAAAAAAATCATTTGAAACACTTGCACTCAGGAATGCAATAATGTATAAATAAAAAATGCACCTAATGTAAACATTAACAATGGGACAAATATATCAAAAAAATCACTTTTGTGCACTTTTTAAAAAATCAAAAAAATACATCAGAATCGTGTATGGTGAATTTTGCACCATATAAAAAAATTAAAGAAAAAAAATTGGAGCAGTTTTTGAGAAATCTGGTTTTTAAAACTGCTCACAATTCACCCAAAATTGCACAAAACTTATTGATATTTTTCAAAAACGTTCAAGACATTTATTAAAGTACTAATTGTGGACAACGAATTTAATTTTAAGAAAAAAATCTCTTATTTCTTTCAATGTAGTACTACGAGATCTCAACATTTGCAATAGGTGAAAGTTAACAAGTAATGGTGAAAATCGAATCAATGCCATCTTTATCAGTATATTTATTTCGCTCTATTATTACAGAAAATTTAAAGAAAAAATTTGGAAAATGTCTCTGAGGCATTATGTAACTACCCCAGATTTTACTACAATACTTCAATATGTACATACATGTATATACATGTAGGAATGAGAAAGTAAAAACAGCCCATCTTAGGAACAACATATTAGTACTCACATCAGGATTGTCACATCCTATCATTTCTCCATAAGAAACTTGATGGCACAAGCAATAAGTCGGCTCATTGGGATCGACAGGCATGTCCAAGACATCTGAAGGATGGGCAAGGCCTGGCAGGACACTCATCAGTGGATTGTCTAGGCCCCCTGAGCCGCCAGCCCCACCTCCAGAGCCCAACCCTGAGCCGCCTCCTCCACCCCCGCCACCACCTCCTTTCTTCTGTTTCTTGCGAGAGGATTTAGTGGTGACTTCTTCTTCTGAAGACGCTGCACCCGCACGCTTCTTCTTTTCCTTATCTTTCTGTTTCTTTCGACCCTCTGAAAAAAGGAGTATTTTAATTTTGTGGATTAAGGCAATACATACAAAAATATTTTCTTCCTGATTATCGTTATTGAAATGTTTTGCAGGCTCATAAGAAGGATGGTTAAAATAAAATGTCCGAATCTTGTAAAATTTTTGAGTTATAAAAATATGTTCTTATGTGTAAATATATTTAATTAAAAAGTAGCTTTTAATCAAGAAATATTAAAAAGTTGAAACTTCCAAACTGAAAATCTATTAATATTTGTTTATCGTTTGCAAGATTCATACATTGATACTAATTCCAGCAATACTCCCTAACCATATGACAAGTATATTTTCCAAAATCTTTTTCTATCATAGCAACATCTTGTTGTAACTTTTCATCCTGCTTGTCACTAAAAGTGCCCCAGATTCTTCAGAAAACAATAAGTAGTAGTAAAGAAAACTGCCCTTCAACAACCTGTTGACACCTAATTCTTCATATGTATAATTTTTGCCACATGTATGTAACTTACTGATTTATCATTTCCCTAGAAAAGCTTAATCAAATCATCCATAGCACACATCTACATTCTTTCTTTTCAACAATACATTTGAGGAAATAAAAAGTTAATTTAAATCTTAAAGCATGCATCTCTGTTTAAAAAAAACTTGTTTGTTGTACCTGTTCTGTATTGTTCATGAAAACAATTTTATTAAAGAAGTTGAAGTCTTTAAAAGAACTTTCCATATATAATTATTTTTATTTACACATGTATCTTACTCCTAAAAAATTACCAAAAGTACACCTCAAAGCGGAACTACTAAGTCCATTTGACTGTTAATTTTATAATAGGATTAAATCATAAAATCAGGCATTTCTACTTTTGAGGCTAATTCAAGTGCCAAAAATTGACTTAATTCAATATGACCAAAAAAATGGGAAACCTTAACTTACTTTTAGTAGTGCCAGTTTCCTCTTGATTTCTTGAGTTGCTCATAGCCTTATCTTGAATTTCTGCTTCAAACCTGGCTAAATCTGAATCCAATCTCCTGATGTGTTTATCAACCTATGGTAAAACAAACAGAAAAGAATATTCACATAGAACTGTATTAGACTATTCCAATGAAACTAATTGCCACATTTTAAAGTAGAGCAGCTCCACTTTAGCACTAGGAAAACTTAAAAGTTAACAATGAAGCAGAGTTAACATTCAATAAAAAATTCAGAAAGATTATTACATTACAGGCTCAGTTAGCATTTAAATAAAGAAGGAGGAAAGGACCATACACGTATCTGTCCAGTTATGAAGGGGCAAAAAGGCAAATACCCTACTTGGCACAGAAAAATTGTTGCTAAATTGAAAAGGGATATATTCTTCCTCAATAAAAGTATTTTAAGATACAATTAGGGTAGAAAATGGACAATTATTATTTCCAATAACAATTGTCCATTTTGAAAGCCTGTATGAATGTAACTCCTGTGAGCAGCCCTCCTTTGGCAATGTGAAAGCCTTTCCCAATACACCATGGGAAGAAAGAAAGAAAGAAAGAAAGAAAAAAAAAAAAAAAAAAAAAAAAAAAAAAGAAAAGAAAGAAAAGAAAAGAAAGAAAAGAAAAAGAAAAGGAAAAAAAAAACGACTAAATAATTGATCTACTGGTGAGGTATTGTTGGCACTGGAATACACATTAAGGTCTTTCACAGTATTTTCAAAAATGATCAGCAGCTTTTGATGACTTAGTCACAATATGACAAATATGAAAAATAGTGAGAGTCATTGAACAAAGGTAAAAAATTAAATATGAAAAATTGAACATTTTCATACTGACATTACGGTCACCTTCATTGAAAGAGTTGTATGTAGAATCTCACAAAATCTCAAGAATGAAACTGCATAAATATGTAACGAAAACGATAAGAATAAGTAACAAATACACAACAAGAGAATAATTAGTAATTCATTTTTGGTGCCTTAATTGAAAAGTGAATTAATCTTAGCCGTTTAAAAAATATCTGGAAATATTCCAGTAAATAAAAATGCATTAAATGTTACAATGCTACTTAACAGCTGTAAAATGGCAGGCACACAAGTCTTTAACAAATGTTCCAAAAATACATCTGATGTTGAATTTTGTTGCTTAAGACTCTTCATGAAATCAACCACAGTTCTTGAAAAACATTGGTAGAAGAGACAAGCCTCTGTTGCCTGATTATTCACTTCTCTATCATCCCCTAAAGAACATTCCCTAAAAGATGTCTTGTTGATGTGACTTTTTTTACACTCCCCATTGCTTTGGTTTTGTTATTTAAATTCAAAACATCCTCCTCAATTTAGCCTACCTTGTAATGACTGGCATAGGCGTGTGCAGCCTAAAACCAGAAGGGGCAAATTACATTACCCCTATGGGACCCCTTTCTCTACATCAATTAATTTTTAATTATATTTGACACATTTTATTGCTAAAGGTTAAAAATACTAACTAGAAAATAAATCAAATCTACAACAAAAATAATGAAACTATAACTTCAACAAGGATGTTCCGTCCTCTTTAACAATATCATCATCAATCCACTGAGTGTTTGGTCTTCCAACTCTTCTTCTGCCAGCCAGTACCTAATTTATTATTTGTTTAGGGATTCTGAAGTAGTACATTGCTTCAATGTGGGTGTACTACTTTTGTATCTGCTTTGTTGTAGGATGTAAAAATTAGGACTGATAATTTGCTGTAGGATATAAACAGTCTAAGCAAGATCTGCCTTTTCTGAAATCTGATTGCTCTTCTCTTAGTTTAATTTCACTTATTACATTTAGTTGGCATAAGATTATTATAGCATATAGTTTATAGGCTGTGTTTAGCAAACTAATCCCTCTTATTCAATTTGGACAATCTAATTGAATAATTATATCAATTATTTAATTAATATCAATAATTTGCTTTATGTTGAAGTATTTACAGTGTTAGCCATATGGTTTGGAGTCTCTTTCTCAATTAATTTGCATTAATATTTGCCAAATTATTGTCTTAAAAAGGAGAATATGAATGAATGTATTAACGAAAATAAAATCTTATATAATGTAAGACTGTGGGACCCCTTTCAAATTATTAAGGGGGACATGCCCCCCTTGAATGCACCTGTGCACATACGTAAATTGCTTAGACATGAAAGAAAGTATTTATTTCCTTTACTGTAATGTTCTAATCACTGGTGTTATCTAGTTATTGCTTATCTACTCAGAAAAGTTTTAAAAAATTAGAAAGGTTTAGTTTACTTTTTTTAAAAGGACAGTTCATATTAAAGTAAAACATAAGCATAAAAAAAATTATTATTTTTGTTATTTGTATCAACAATATTGAAAGCCACATCCCATGACTCCTGCAACAAACAGTTAATGGAAAATTTTATTTTACATTTGATCAACACTTTACAAATACATGTATTGAATTGAATTGAATTGAATTTGCCTTATTTTACGTGTATTATTTAATGTTTGATGTTCACATTTCTCTTATTGTAAGAATTTGTACATTGTGGTCCCTGTATCCTAAGCCTTTCATTGCAATTTCATATCTAGTAGTGTTTTATTTTTATCATTCGATTGATTGTCTTCTTTGAATTAAGAAGGGTCCCTGTAGAATAATAGATATTTCAAAAACGCTTATCATTTTGAATGTAAATAAAACCTCTATTTTCAGGACCTTATTTGACTCCCATGCTCAACAATAATAGCCTGCCAAGATAAAAGTTTGGAATTTGGAAAATGCTAAGTTTATTTTTCACTTCATACTTCCACCTCATTTGCCACAGCAAAATTCCACTTAGTAACAAATACTGAACAACATATTAAATTTGAATACTCACCAACTCGTAGGTCTGAATAGCAAGTTGCACTTTATCATCTCCATACTCTTTTGCTTTGTTGAAAAGGTTTTGAATGGTGTTCATTTGCTCTTTCTTTTTCTCTGGAGAGAGTGACTTTATATTCTTTAGATATTCTCCGGCAAGCCGGTCAATATTGCGCATCAGTCCTTGGGCTCTGGCATCTAAGTCTCTCATTAAGGTAAAATTCCTCTGCAATTCAATTGGCAAATGTTCCAGACCTGAAACGCAATTCAAAAAATTAAGAAAATTAAAATAATAAAGCATAACAAAAGTTTATTACACATTTCACAAACAAAGTAAGAAAGACAAAATAAAAATGACTGACAGATTGTTCCCAATATTTTGAAACAGCACTACATACTGTACATCCTGAACACACTTAGGACAGACATTTCCAAATTAGTCTGATGCAACAGACTTACAACTTCTACTTCCACACTAACAATATTCTATAACTAGTTATTCAAATTATATTATTCATTTACTCACTATCTAAGTAGTGTTCCAAATACAGAGCAGAAGTCATGATGAGGAAGATTCACTAACAAAACGGTATTCTTTTCACAAATGAATTCTTTCTTTTTGAGTTCCTCTTGCCTATATAATAAACACCTTATGCACTTTTCGGATAATCCTCTGGAAATACAGTTTCCATATATTAAACTACCTTACTTCGCAGCTTCTTCAGCAAACAACGCTACAGCAAGATCAATCTCTGAAATAAAAACATAGTACAATACACATAGAAGAAGGCTTTCCTTTTCGGTATGACCAATGAACGATCGCAATTGTACAAGTGTGCCAAGATGGGCGCGAATGAAGTTTTTACCTTCCCACCACTTTCCCGCTACATATCTTGCCGCGAAATACGAATGTTTTAACTAAATGAAATGTCATACGAAATGCAAGTTTAAAGTATTACCTAGCAAACGACAATAATATAACGGCCGCTAATACCATTATTGTTTTTGCATCGAAATTCATTTATACAATTAGTGAGAGAGTAGTATGAGATTTTTCTGATGTTATCTGAATTAAAGAAATATTGTATGGTCTCTCGTTCAGGGAGGTGGCAGAATGACGCGCCGGTGAGTATTGTCAGAAATTATATTATTGTATTAATTTTAAAATATTTACATTTTATTTGATTGATTACGGTATGGAATGGTGTTAAATAATGATCATCTTTAATGTATTACAATCTTTTTGGGAGCCTATGTGATGGATGTAATTTTATATAATTCCGTACCGTAACCGAAATTTCGTACCAAATTCTATAGACTTCTTGCGAACATGCTAAATGATGCTGAAGCAATAATTAACATTGTGAATGGATTAAAGGAGAATATTACACATGCATCACGAATTGATGATGCTGATTAATATGATGCTGGAAATGATATGGACGCTAAAACGGCCGATATTCAGGATTTAGGAAGTGGAGTTTTTCAAAACAGATACAACTCAACTAAGCGAGGAATCAAGGAGGTGATTGCGGCGCGTCGTGGAACGTAAACACGGATCCAGTCAGCAGACAGTACATTCCTCCATGCAGACAGTTTCGCTAACAAAAGTCACGATGAGCGTGAAGCGAGTTGTATCGGCGTAGCTTTGTGAAACAGTTCTCGCCGAGTTGTGACACTTCGCAGGCATGCAAGACGCCTTGTCTCAAAGTCACGTTAAGTTGCATGTTTTTATTATTTACCTCTTTATTACAAGAATATAATAAAATCCTTTCTTTTTGTATCAAATTTTTATTATTTTTTCCGTCGAATTTAAACATTTTGATTCATTCATATTTTCAAGCAGACATTATGCTATTTGTTAGTATGCATAAAGAACGAAACCTTCACTGATCATAAGTATCTATAATTTTCATGTATGGTGGTAGGTACTTGCTCTTCATAAAAATAACTTTATTTGGGTGTTATTCGAGAAACTTCTTAAGTAAATTAAACTATTTATACAAATGTGCTATAATACACATTTGCTGCATATATCTAAAGGATTTCGATATAACAAATTTGCATGTCAATCTGCAGGAAAAAAGTACTAACTATTCCAAAAAGAGGTGCAGAATGTCAAAATACAGTTAAGATATACATTGGGTCAAAATACAGTTAAGATATACGAAATAAATCGCTTTTTTTTTTCCTCCAGCAAATGTTTGACACGGTCTCATTTTTAATTTGAGTATCCTTATCTCTGTCTCTACCGTTCGGCTGTAAACGAAGACAGTGGCGCGCCCCTGTAAGCATCAATCCCAACTTGGTCGAGATGCAACCGCAATGCGGGCGGACTCTGGTAAAAAAGGGCCTACTTTTAAGGGATATTTTTACTAACCGCTACCGCGGTGGAGAGAATTTATGAAGTGCTGTGCGATAAAACAGCGAATTTTAGGCAGAACAACTTTTATTACAGGACCTAAGCAATGAAAAAGTGGATAAATCTAGATGCTAAATTTAGACAAAATCCTCTTACACGTGGTGTAGCAAGAATCCAAGTTATGTAGGTCCTTCCTATCGAAAAATTGGTTGGCGGCAAACTGTCTGTCCGTCTGTGAACAACGCTAGGGGCTAAACCGTTCAGCCGATTTTCTCTAAAACTGATATTCCCTAATCGATCTGGCTGAATTCGCAGCCCCTTGAATTTGAAACTAATATTTTAATTTTGGAGGGTAGTTGGCATGAAGCCTCAGGGATATTTTCAAAAAATGGTTTCCGTTTTTGATTAAACTTTGATATTGGATAGTGAGAAAGACGTTTAAGAGAATGGCGCAGGTCTAATGTTCGTTGAAATCCCTGTTTTTGAAAATTGAAAAAAATTGAAATTTGTTCGTCTTCCAACAACTACAATAAACATTTGTTTCTTAATGAAATATGTTCATGAAAAATATCTAAAAGTAATGTCATGTTCAATTTTTCAAAAACATGAGTATTTTTGCGTAATTTTGTGTCATCAATAGACCCTTTTTATTTTCTTAAACCATTTCTTTTAAACGACACACTTTTTTAAACTTAAATTATGACCTTGGGTTGCGTAAAGGGCGCTTGAGAGAATGGTCTCATATTGAGTCTCATATTCGTCGAAATGCTTGATTTTTCGAAAGTTAAAAAAAATCGGGGGCTTCCTGCAGCTACAACTATGAAGATACAATTTGTTTTCTTAATGAAATGTAATTATCAAAAAATCTTCAAATACGATCATGATAATTTTTTCGAAAATGAGAGTATTTTTTATGTAATTTGATGACAAATGTAATTGCCCACTCCGAATTTGCAGCGCTTTGTCTTCGGCGTCTTCCTACAACTACAATTGTGAAGATATATCTATTCTTAATGAAATGTGTTTATCAAAAACAGAACTTCAAATAAGATCATGTTGAAGATTTTGAAAATATGAGTTCTCTTTTGTGTAATTTGGCGACAAAAGGCCCGCTCCGAATTTACTACGCTTGGTAAACGTAATTCTAGGCATTTGGATGCTTCGTAAGTTAGAATTAGTATATTATTTCAAATTTTGTCTGTTTGTTTCTTACATTAGACGTTTTGTTATACATTTACACATTAATCTTTTAGAAGTTTGCTAAAGCATGTTTGAAATACATTAAATAAAAATTGCTAGCCTTCAGGGAATATCATATTGAAATGCAACAATGACTCGGGAGATATTTTTTTGTGAATTGCATGTAATTGTTGGGGCATTTTTTTGTATGAAAAACAGTAATAATTGTCAATTTTTTAATGTACAAATAAAATGTTAAAAAAATAATCTTTATTTAGAGAAGGAAATAAAAAATAAAAGACATCATGTTTTGCTATTTTTCCATTCAATCAGTTTCATTCATAAATTATCTTAGTAAAAAACGACTTGGATCTAATATGGTACATAGTACGTAAATATTATTTTCATGAATATTCAGCGTTATATCACTGTCATCTTAATTTTCAATCAATATTCTATATTGACAAGGTTCAAAATGCTGTTTAGCGATGCAACCACATAAAAAATCATCCGAAAATATAATATAAACATAATTATTAAAAACAAAACTCAAAACTTAATAAAACCTTGGAAGATATTTTGGACAAGAACATTTATATGCTTCTTAAATACTAAATTCTTTAACATGCCTATACGTGTACTGAATATGAGAGAAAATGCACCGCTTGTTTCAAATCTCGACCAAGTTGAAAGTTGAATGATGTTTACAGGACCACGCCACAGTCTTTGTTTTCAGCAGAAACGATAGAGACGGAGATATAAGGATACTCGACTGAAATTAAAAATGGGACCGTTCCAAACTTGCTGGAAAAAAGCCGATTTATTTAATCGCCAATCTAGGGTTTCGAACGTATATTTTAACTGTTTTTGGACTTAAATGCACTTCATATGGGAATAGATAAAAATAATTGGAATACTTTTCTCTGCAGAATGAATAGAATTTTGATCGAATTCCTCCGATAACAGAAACTTGTATACTTATTGTTTAGGTGGCATTTTATAGATAGCATTTTTCACAATATTTTGTAATCTAATATATACATTTATACATACATATATGCATTTCAGTTGCCGTCTGGCTTATTGTAAATTCTTACTTCTATGAGTATTATACATATATACATATATTTTTTATAATACATAATGCTCTTCGAAGATCTACGCAGGGATTCCCAGCTTGTCGGTCTGGTGTTGTTGCAGTCTTCTTTGTTTGTTCCGCAGCTAGTTCCTGTGGCATGAGGTTGTAGGAGGGCGCCTCTGCGGTCTCTGTCCCGCGCTGTTTGTACTCACACGGGGCAAGGGTATATTGCGTGTAGTAGCATGCCGACTGCATCAATGGTCAGTGGACTATTTTTTCCCTTAAAGCTTTAGTTTGAGGGCTCACGCAACTTTTTTAGTGGCGGGTACTCCCCGCAACCATTTCCGTGCCGCCTATCTCAGCGGGGAGTACTTCGGCGCTGGTGGTAACCGCCGGTAGAATGAGGTTGGGGCGCGGGTGGGCTTCGTTTATTTTTGGCGCTTCTCTTTTTAATTTCTTCTCAGTTTGCCTTCTCGTGCGTCAGACCGCGAAGTCTACCACGAGTGCATTCTGCCCGCCGAGTAGCGAGATCAGGGGACCTGTTGCCCACCAATGCCTGAATTTCCGCGTATTTTATATATATATAATATATCATATATATATATTATATATATATATATAATATATATATATATATATATATATATATTATATGATAGATAGAATCAATATTCGATGAGATCGTTTGTGTCACTGCCACTCATTATCGACTGCAGATGTGAGAGTGTCATTCGTCTTCTGAACATAGGTTAGTTTTTTGTAAGTTCATGCAGGAGAAAAGCTGTTCACAAATTTAAGTAGAGCCGAACATGGACAATACCCATGCAGCTACGGCACACGTTTTCGGATGATTCCTTACTGATTCCAGCGTAAAATCTTTATATGTAGTCAATTTACTAACATGGGGCAGCCGGCTTTACTTCCCCTCCAAAGGAAATGTTTAATAATCATTGTTTAAAATAAACTTCATACATCCAATCAAACATTTTTTAACAAGAAAAATAAAATATTTCTTTTCAATATAACTTGGACATGAACACATTTTGGAAATGAGTACTTTCCCTTGTGAGAAATATGCAGGTAATAGAGATTAATTTGTTTTTCTAATTAGTGCACGTATGAGGGAGAAGTGCGATCTGTGCCCCTTTTCTCGAGCTATGAAAGTTTCATCCTCTCTTATACTAAATTCAATTGTGGATGACGATAGCAACAATTGTGAATAAAGACAGCAGAATTTGATAACAAGAACTGTTTACTCCCATGTAAAAAAATTAATTAGCAAGTGTAGGTTTTGGATCTTATCCCTCCTTGTGCTCCAAATGAAGGAATGAACTGGAAAATGGAACAAATTAGCATT